CATGGTGTCAAGTCAAAAATAAAATAAATTCCAAAATAGATTGCTTGCAATATTATAATTGTTGATTTCCAATCAAAAATTTAAAATTTAATTTAGACATTTGAAAGTCTTAGATTATTAATTTTGAAACTTTGAATAGTTTTATTTAATAAAATTAGTGTATATATATATATATATATATATATATTAAATATTTTTAGGGTACCATATTTGAAGTTGACTCGAGAACTCCCAAAACTTCAGGACTGACCCTATAAATGTTGATTGATTTAGGGTTTGGATTACTCATTAAAAGTTAAACAAAGTGAAGAAAAAAAATATCTTTTGCTTTTGCCCATATCACTTTAGTTCAAATTGGAAAAACACTTGTCAATTTTTGAGAAGGTAATGTCCTCATAAAATATTGTTGTTTGTGGTTCAAATTCTCCCCTTTTTCTTCTTACATCCTTAGCAAAACCGAAAGAGACGAAATAATTGAACTTTTATTCATTTAGTCGTCACCCTATCCCACCCCATCCCATCCCAGCCCACCCTCACCCTTATTCATTGCCTCTGAACTTTCTATAAAGTGATCAGCCACAATACTTAGGAATGAAGATTTAGCACATTTATGACATGTTTAGCCACGAATAAATAAGTGAATCATAAAATATTAGTTACATTATTGTTAAAATAAGTAACTTCTTTCTTTGTAAAATAAAAAATAAATAAAAATCGCTAATTGGCTGTTATTTTACAAGGATATGATCACCATAGAATGACTCCAAATTAGATGATTACATCGCAGCCCCAAGGTAATTTATAAGTAGGGACATTGTGTTAATTAACCTGATAATAAAGATTAATTAGTGATAATGAAAGCTAAAAACAATGATGATATGAGCAAAAAGTGGGTCAATTTATGTAATAAACATGTTTGATTAGCCAGTAGTGGGAGATTAAATTCCAAAAAATGTTTGTCTAAGGAGAAAAAATTATTGAAAAAAGAAAAAAAAAATGGTGTGAGTGACAGATTGGTTTTGGTGATAGATATGCCCAATCATCAAAGGGTGATTGAAAGTTTGAATCCCACATGAGGCAAAAAGAGACATCAAGTGGGCCATTCCAGTTTTTTTGGAGGAGAGTACTGGTAATTTTTACAATAATAGAGTCTTCATGAACAGCTCTATTGATTTAGACTATTCAATGTCACCACCACAGGTAAACCCTACATCATCAATCCAATAAAATAAAAAAAAAGGAAAAAAAATCTTGTTTAGATACACTAAAAAAAAATCATTGTGCTTGGTTCCATGAATTATGACAATATACACTGCAAGTAGTGATGCAAATTCTTGGAAAAATAGTCCAATTAAACTTTATTCTAAGATCTCAAACAATTGAAGGTTAATGATAGCAACATGTTTTAGTTTGAAATTTGGATATTCGGGTTGAGATCACTTGATATTTATTGTCAAAATATTTGATCTGAAATTATTAACCCCTAGTTTGGCTCCCATTCTTTTGAAATTTTAATGGTTGGGATAATGTTTTTGAAAAATGTGTGGTTGAAAAAGAATGAAATTTTTCTGATTTGCATGTAATATTATTTTATGAAAGATTGTGTGGTTGAAAATAAGATGAAGAAAAAGAATGAAAATAAGGGCCAAACAAGGGCTAAATAATGTTATGTGTAAATCATTTAAATATTGTCTTCAATAAGTATCTTCACGTTAACGAAAAATTCATTATTTTCCCATAAAAACGTGCCTTGTATGCTTTTATACTGCATCGAATCACTTCTCTTTTATATGTAATATAGTATGGTAAGGTTTAAGAACAATGTCACCTAGTGAGAAGGCTCAAGATTTGAAAATCATTAACATACCTTTTGAGATATAGGCTATCAAACTTTCTGATTCTGATAATTAATATTTATTAATTTAATTAGATGAGGTTAATAATTATAAAATGAAGGTTAGATCTTATGGTTTTACCTGTATTTAAAAAAAAGGTTGAACCCCAACCATAAGGGCCTTCACCGTCCCGCTCCTAGAGCTTTTTGAGGGAGGTAAATCGTGGAATGTGCCTCAACAAGTTAGAGAACAAGAGCTGCATGTATATTGCATCTACAAGAAGTCCAATTTCATGTCTTAGGAATCGAATCTCCACATTGTGACTGTCAACAAGAAATGAGATAACCTCACTCATGCCCTCTGTACCACTGAACTATGCCCGAGGCGGTTTTACTTGTATTTATTGGTTCAATATGGCCATATCATGTCCTTATCATTTAGAAGATTGTATCAAAAAAGTAGAGAAAATTTGATTTGCTCAGAACAGAAATCTACTCTTTGCCAACTGGGTTGGGGGCACTGTTGATGTGTACTATTAAAGGCCCGACTGTCTTTTGTGAGACCTCTCGTTCTGAGGTACCCTAAACCTAAGATAGGTTTCTGCACAAAAGATCAAAATTTATCAGATGACAAAAGCATATATACCTACTGTCTCTCTGTTAAGGACATTTTGGAAGCAAAGTCTGATCGAGTATTTTGGATGAATTCTGCAGAGTATGGCATTGTTTGGATGATTTGAACTTTGTTTGGTAATTTTCATAAGAAAATATTTTTACATGATCAAACAATTTTTCTTACCATAAGTTGTTGCAATTAGCTTATAATTTTATGGGTTTTGCTTGCTTTTATAAAGAGCTAAACAGCTTTCGATTGTCATGTTAAAAAGTATGTTTGTTGGCATAAAATCGTAAGCGTAAGATGTCAATTAAATAAGTAGTAAAATGGACCTAAACAATCAGAATGTAATTCTACGAAAACTACTTTATTTGAATCATATCCATTGTTTGAAGAAAATAATGTTTTGGTAAAAGTTTTAAATAAAAATAATACTATATTAGAAAAGTAAAAGCATTTAAACAAAATTACCTTTTCATGTTCAACTTTGATTAAACTATCAAATATGATAGTTAAAGTGTTGCAACTCACGATTTTACCATTGTTACCAACTTACCACCTTTAATTTCATCTCTCAAGTTTATTTCCTAAAAATGTACTAGGTCAAATTCTTTAATTAACTCAATTTACCTCTTTTGAATTCTAATCGATCGTATTAGTTGAGTCAACTTTCTATATCTTTATATAAATATGAATAAGCATTAACCAAACATATTAAGTCACCTAAATATTCAATTAAGACTACAACAATAGTAAATTGTATCTCTATATTTTACCCAATTGTCGTATTTTATTATGTAGCCTAAATTTATAATTCACCTCTCAATTTGTTACGATTCACAAATCATGAATTAATGATCAAGTAATTCAAGCATTAAAAAGATGTAAAATTAATACATGATTCAATTAACAAAACAAAGCTTGAGAATTAAAATTAAAAAGTTCAAATCTTGGTTAAATAGTTCGTTCCTACTAATGATTTAGTTACTCATAACGAAGGAAGAAAAACATAAAAATGTACAATGTATTTAAAGGGGGGAAAAAAGATGAAAATATTGTGCCAAAAATTTGCGTTTTAATGTCGAAATTTTGAAACTCTCTCCTTTGCTCTTTATTCTCTTCTATACTTTTCTCCCCATCTTTTTCCCTTAATTTGATCTCAAATATGTCTTCATAATGTGCCTAAATTTCTTGTATGCTTTAAGTTCTTTTCGGTTCAAATCTTGAATATTGCTCCCGCAACTCCTAAAAGCTTCCGCTTGGGTCTCCAAATCTCCATAGTCATTCAGGATTGGTCCTTTTCAAGTTTTGAATGTTTGGAAATCAGTCTCCACACTTTCCATAAGTCGAATTTCCCTCTCGAAACTTTTACATTCTCCAATTGCTCTATCAATGCCTTCCATCAGTAAAGTGACATACAGCTAGTTTTCAATAGCTTCAAACCAATTCCTATTTAACCAAAAAAAAAAAAAAAATCATTTCTTTATGTACCTCTAAATTTGGGTTATACATATGGAAACAATATTTACACTGGATTAAGTAGTATTCCACTCAATTTTCAAATACATATCAAGTTTGTAAGCCACAATAAGCTTGTAAATAAATTTATCGATGCCTTCCTTCTTTGAACTTTGGAATATTGTTGATATCTGATTATGAAAATGATAAGAAATGAATTATACAATTATAAGACCTTAAATTTCGGTAGGCTGGTAACTATTTACTTCCCATTAAATCATATGTTAACACAACAATTCAACTTCAAAATTTATTAAGAGTGCATTAAAGACAAGCATGTTTTGGTCTCTTGTGAGGATAAACTTAATAAGTGAAAGAGTTGAATTAGTGCTCGAGAAGGAATAATAAAAGATCAAATCTTTGGTTAGTTTCATCCAATACTCTCTACCTCCTCTAAAAGTCCTCATTTTACACAATATTAGCCTGTTTGCGAGTGATTTTTTGGCTCAAAAAATTGATTTTTTGACTGTTATTTCACTATTTCAGCCGTCATATTTGATTTCTTCTCTCATAAATGGACCCCACTTTTCTCTTAACGGTAAAAAAAACAATTCTCAAAATCATTCCCAAACAGACTCTATATAAAGTATTAGAAATAAAACAATATTCCCACTGCTTATTGTGGGACAGAAGACAGAAACATGGAAATTTATTGCTTAGTCTTGAATACTTTTTCCATTTTATTTTCTTGCGGATCCATTGTGGGCAAAATCAGAAACCAAAAATAAAAAAATAAAAATTTGGGTTCTCTTTAGTTATTTCTTAGCAAATACCAGTACATTTACAAGAGGAATAATAGAACAAAATTTGGAAGCATGAAGAAAGCGGGGTTTGCGGATCCTGTCTTGAGACCAAACTAAAAGAGAGTATGAGATTCATAGCATCTTTATCTAACTTTATCTTATTCTATTTTGTATAAAAATTCAGATCAAGAAATGGGTTTTGTTTGCTTTTAAGATGGATCAAGACATTATAATAGGCTAAACAATTCAAGAAATTTATAGGTCACTAACGAATAAAGTAAAAGCAATAAAAATGAAAAAGAAGCTTCCTTTAATTCATTCAATTTGATCAGCACATCTGAAAATGTCCCCATCTCTCCCTTTCACTGCCCCCAACATTCTTAGCTTATAGACTAGCTTAAGGAAGATATATTTTTAATTTTTTTTCTTGCAAATGAATGTAGAAAATAAGTAAAAGTAAGAGAAAATAAGCTGCCTAAATTTCTAGTACGGCAAAAAACATTCATACAACAATACAATTATAGTGTTTAAGAAGCCTATTAGCTTCTCTAAGACCACTAAAGTAAGCTCCATGAGTGGTTGAATAGTGTGTTCTGTGTGTTGCTTCTCCTGCAAATAGAATTTGTAGTGGGGAGGACGATGACGAAGAATCAGAACAAATAGTGACGGTTTTTGGTAATGGCTCGGCCAGAGTATCCAAGTCGTCGCCACTTGATCCTACGGCCACATAACTATATGATCCCAAGAAGAGAGGATCAGTACCCCATTTAGTCCTCAAAACTTTATCAAATTTTGGTTGAGGAACTCCTGCAGAATTACACAAGTTATGGGGTAACAAGTTTGAGACAGTTGTGGAAACCCCATTTAGAATCTCTTCATCGTTGAGGGATTCGAGTTGTAGGGCCTCTTTGCCTGCAAACCATGATAATAAGACTCTTGAATTGCTGTAAATTGGAGATAAAGAAGCTGTTCTCCTGATCCACCATGGGATTTTTGGGTGCCTTAAATTGGAATCTTTTTGATGAAAAACCATTTGCAAGAATGGAAATTTTGTTTTGTAACCATTGATTTCTTGATCATCATCTGAGTTACTTAGTTGCAAAAACAATTTGTCAACAACACCGTATCCCAGCCTTGAAATTGCTCCAGTCTTGAAACTAGGTAGTGGGGGGCTAAACAAACCAGAATCTTGTTTAATTCCTTGCTTAAGTACTCCAAGTGAAACTGTGAGAATTACGTGATCAGCATACATTGTTGATCCATCTGAAAAATGTAGCTTAACTGGCCATCCATTGTTGATCTCTCCGTTCTTCTTCGTCTCAAGCAGCCATTCGATTTTCACCACTTTCCGGCCTAACTGGATCAAACCGGCTGGTAATACAGAAACCAGTGATTGAATCACGCTCAAGTAACCTTTTGCAATAGTTATTTCTTCACCAGGAAACATCTTGTACTCACTCTCTGCATTGTAATCAAGACTGTGCAAGTTATCGGCCGATGTATAAGTCCTTTGCGTGTTCTCATGCATTGCAAAAATGGCTTCTTGGAGTGATTTTCCACTCCAATTTCCAAATCCATTGACAGCAAGCTTCTCGTCTTTAGTTAGGCTCCAATAAGCTTCGAGGCCTTGCTCCAGAAAAGAACCAACGCTGAGATCTCCAGCAGATTTGGCTGCAACTTGCTTCAAACGCGCAACGATTTCGCCATCTTCTTTAATCACTTTCCCTTGAGCTAAATCCATCAGATTCTTGAAAAGACTAGAGATAGACTCAACAAATGATGGATTAAGCTCATACCCTCCTTCAGCTATGGTCAAAGGATCCTCCAAATTTCCATCCATACATTCCCATGGCTGGTCAGATTTCAATGAATCGATTTCTTGAGCAATTTTGTAAACTGGGCTACCCCCAATTCCATGGATCCAAGTAGCCCCTAGCTCAATCCTGTCACCGCAAAATTCGGAAGTGTTAATTCTGCCACCGATTCTTGTTCCACCCTCTACAACGAAAAGCTCGAAGAGTTCTTTCGAGCCGGAAGCTGTGTAGAGCTTGTTAGCAGCTGTTAATCCAGCCATTCCTGCACCAATTATCACAATTCTAGGCTTTTTGGAGACCATTTTCGTTATCACCGAATTAGGCTAAGATATATCTATATTTGAAAGTGAACAATGAACAATGAACAAAATTGTGTTTTCTGTATGAACTTTGTGAGGTGAGAATGAATTGCTGAAGAGGATATATAAGGGAGTACCTAGTGTAGTGTACTCCTCGAAGGCATCTTTTTTATTTTTTTCTTGTTTTCTTCCATAGTTTATTTAGCTAATAAAGACATGGCTTTACTTTCTTGAAACTCTCTCTACTTGTACCCCAGTGCTGTTAATATATGTAATGACACCCGCAAAACCCTTATTTTCTGCCTCAGTAAATCTCACTGCCATCCATTGTATATACTTATGCTCACATGTATGTATTTATTTAATTACTCGTGTGGGTGGGGTGGGTTGAGATGGGAGTTGAGATAATATTGTAGCCAATAAGCCAAAGAACAATAATAGGTTGATGATGCCCGTCACCAACCTTCACATGTGAACCGGTAAACGACGGCCCACCAAACTGAACACTCTGAATGGTCCTTATTAGTCAATGAACTAGCAATGAATCTACCACTTCAAATTGGTATTCCCTACTAACAACTAAATGCTACCCATTGTAAAGATTCGGTTTTCAATCGGAATTTATCAACGAAAATAGCAACAGAATATTCGCGGTTGTTTAATGACGATGCAAGTCTGTATTTTGCAACGGTCATAGTTATAGCAAAAGACATTGTCAAAGCAATTTGTCGGTAATTATCGATGTATTATCTCATTTAAATATAAAATATTGAGGAAATTTTTACCTTCGATGTACCAACGAAAAACTTTCGTCGACAGATTGCTGTATCAAAGGGAATTTGTAGCATCGGCGAGCGACTGAATTTTTTGTTTTGTAGCAATTTGCAATATTCATAGACGTCCTTAAGGGCCTCCCTCCGCTTGGCCAGTTTACTACTACAAAAATGTAATTCAGTATTGAGGTGTATATACGATATGTTCTGGATAATTATAATGTCTTCACCATCATTCGCAAACCCTAATGGGACAAAACGTTTGAATGCCCACATGACAATTATAAATTTGCACTCACTCTAACTAAGAGATTAAGTAGACAACATTCATGTTCATCGTACAATCAGAGAGTTGTGCAACTCATCGAGAACGGAATGATACACGGTGTAGGACCATAGGACAACATCCCATAGGTAGCAGTATTGGCAAAACATTAATTAGAAAAGTAGTTATGTTTGCTAGGTCAAGTTGATTATATTCCATCTCTCCAAGTGCAACATCAAGAAATCGTTTGCATTTCATACCCAGACGTTGATTTTGTTTTTGTCATGTCCCATGTGTTTTGGATCTATATTGCTCATTGTGATGGCAAATTTTGGAATTTTCTTCTCTAAATCTCACTCTATCTTTTGGAAAAAGAAACCAATTTAGAAGATAATAATTAGATTAAGCAATTTGATCATAGTAATTAACCTCGAAATCGAATATATCAAAAGCCTCTGTTTAGTTTTGTTTTTTTCTTTGAACATTTGGTGAAATTTCGATTAGATCATACAACCTTTTAGGTAACATATTTATCTAGAAACATGATTTGGACAAATTTAAGTTTAATGAATTTATTAAAATTTCACTGGAATTCAGTGACCAAAAAATTATTTTTTACCCGAAAGCCTCTTAGGACCTATTTCGAAAAATTGTGAGCATAATAATATTGCGAAATACTTAGATGGAAGAAAAATAAATTCAAATATTGTTCCAATGTTGGAGTAAATCTTATCTAATACTATGTACCAAAACAATTTACTTGATACGTTACATTTACGCATTAATCTTGAAATGTTTATGACAATTGATCAACTCCAAAAGAAAAATGGTATCTGCAATTACGTTCATCTTAATTTATTATTATTTTTTTATTTTTTATTTTTTTTTTTAGTAGTCACCATATATAAACATAATTAAATCAAGTACAACGTTTTTTACAAACCAATTTACAATAATCAAACCTTCGTCTTTATCTAAAAAAGGTTGAACCACAACCTTGAGGGTTTCCACCGCCCCATCCCTAGAACTTTGTGAAGGAGGTAAATCGTGGAATGTGCCCCAACAAGTCAGGGAACAAGAGCTGCCTATACATTGTGCCTACAAGTAGTCCAATTCCATGTTTTAGGAATCGAACTCCCACACTGCGACTGTCAGCAAGGCGTGAGATAACCTCACTCTTATCCTTTGCACCACTAGACTATCCCCCAGGGGGGCAACCTTCTTCTTTATCTAATTATCTTCATAGAGGATGGTGCAGATATTTTGCTTAAATAATACAAGTTGCTTCAAAGGTGGCTCTATAAGATTTCTCTATTCTTTTCGAATATATTTATTAATTGTTGTTTCGCCTTTTTTAATTCCTTTGTTCTTGATCTAAAAGAATAATATTTTGACATTTAGAGAGAAAAATAATAAATTACAACATTATAATATTCTGGAGTTAATAAAAATTAGCTTCTAAGTTAAAGCAAGATAAGCATAAATGATAATAAACACCCATAATTGATAACTTTTTTGGTAGGGCTCCACTTCAACTTTAATTATTAACTATAGTGTACATAATCAAGTAGGTTGAGTTTGACCCATGTTAGATTCTCTTAAACTTAGCTAGGCCAAGAAATGTAATTAGATTTGAGTATATATTCGAGGTGTTGAAACATGTTAACTTAAATCTTGGACGACCAAAAAGTTTCAACTTAAAGGATTTTGGAACTCGAGTTTGACTCAAATTGACTCTGATGTTATGAAAGTATGATTTCAAATGACATCAGCAACCTGAAAAATAATTTTGAAAGGCTAAAAAATGGTCGGAAAAGGGGATATTTCCTATTTGATGCGCAAGTCAACTGTGAATTTAGCATTTGCATAAATAGATGTATATTAATCAAAATTTAGTAACAACTAGACTATGTTGTTCGGAAATTAAACCGAAATATATTGTGCTCATTTTCATAAAAATAAAATTAATCGAGAAAGTTAATACCTAATCAAAAAACGATATTAACTTGACTTGGCATTGATTGATACATAGAAAAAGGTTAAATAATTAACAATGATGATACACGAATGCACCATGTGAAGAAAGTGAAGAAGCATTGATAACAACTTAATTTACGAGCTATTAATGAGTATCATTAGACGCATTATTATACTAATTTGGATTTACCAAAGCATCATTAGTTTGCATCATTATCAAAAAAAGTCAAATTAATTCTTGAGTTCCAATTTTTCCTTGAGCACCCAATCTCTCTCTCTCCTTCTCTCACACACCCCAAAAAATTTCACACAAAAACACAATTTCTATCCAAAAAATGCATTGAAGGGTGTGTTCAACTTCAATGACTAGCAAACAAAGGAAATGGGTCATCTTGGAAATAAACTAATTAATACTTTTGTCTAATTAGGAACCCAATTTTACATTTTATTTACAGTTTCTCTCTTATCTATGTCTCAATTTTATAAATATTCAAATTACTTTTTATTCATACATATCGAGAGATCTGCAAGTGTTTTTCATTTATCTATTATTTATTTTTATTTATTTAAAACTTAAATCGTTATAAATACTTCTCAAATATGCTATTAGATTGTCATGAAGCCTTCTTGGCTGAAATAAAAAATTCTTCCATCATGAACATGATAAAAAAAATATCTTTGTATTATTTTCTAACTGCTAATAAAAGGAGAATAAAAGAAAAGGAAGCATCATCAAGTATTCTTGTATCCTGTGTGGAGCCGTTATTTTGTATTCATGACTGTCCATACCCGGGCATGGACCCAGCACCAAATGTAGATTAGTTTTATTCTTTCTTATGAGAACAGCCCCAAAAAAAAAAAAAAGAAAAAAAAGAAAAAAAGAAAAAAGAAAAAAAGAAAAATAAAACCAATTATTTCGGTCTCAAACTGTATACCTCGTAGTTGCAAGTTCTTGTTCTATTGTTTGTTCCACTAGACTCTTGTCAATTTCTTATTTCCTCTTCAAAGAGACCTATGTGCTTAAAGCACTAGGCATTAACAAATATACATGAAAAATATTATTTAAGTAGAAATTCTATAAATTAATAATCTTTATTAATTTATAAGTTTTTATGTAACAAGTCATATTAATTTAAAGATATCAGACTATATAATGTTTGTTGCTTCTAATATTGATTCAATGTTTAACTTAACCTTTTTCAATTAGTTCTGACAGTTATTAGAAGGTATACTTAACATTCACCTATTTTATATTTTTTATTCTGTAACATTTTAAAATGACATTATTGATGCGTATTGGTCAAAAAGTTATTCCAAATCTTCCCAACTGATATAAATTTTTTAAGAATAAAATTTACGATTATTTTATTTTATTTTATTTATTTTTTGAGAGATTGCGTGGTTAAAAAGTTGAAAACATTATTGGTCCACGTGAAAGATTATTTTATTGAAAAAAAAAAGAAAAAACAAAAAAGAAAAGAGTTTTATGAAATCCTAATAGAGACTTTCACGTTTTTGTAAATTCTAAAAGAATCAAGATACTTAGAAGTCATAGACAGTCATTGATGGGACATTTTACAGAACAGTAACGTTAAACAAGAAAAGATAATGAAGCACATAATCACAAACAGAAATTCGGTCACTAATCAACAAGAAGTCGTTGATTTCATTTTTTTCAACAAATTTTTTTTTCTATAATTTACCAACAAACAGTTATAATATCATTTTATGATTTTTCATAAAATTTTTAGGATTCTTATTTTATTCCTAAAAAAATTTCATTATATTTAATTTAGGCAAAATAACTAGTAATCATATTCAAAATTTAAAAATCACTCTATGAACTCTTTGTTTACCAATGAAATTCAAATGCAAAAGGCTTCTTCACTACTAGCTACACAAGTAGTACAAAATAAAACATGTTTTATATTGCCCCCCAGGGCATATCCCAACTGGCAAAGATGAGGGCGCTTCAAGATTAGCAGATCAGAGGTCGTGAGTTCGATTCTTGAAAGACTCTTGGAAGGCATATATTCACCTGGAAGGCAGGAGCTCTACTGGAAGACAGTGTGTAAAGATGGAAAACGACTTGTTTGACACTTTGGCAGATCAGTTGAAGGGCTCTTGAGCACTGATCAGTTTGGGGCACAACCTGCGGTTTAACCTGTCTGCAACTTGAGGGGTCAAGGTGTAGACTCCAGGATTTAGTTACTGTAAGGTGGATACCTAGATATAAAAAAAAATGTTTTATATTTCTTGAATATGCCGTTTTAAATATAATCTCACTCCAAACTCGATA